CTTATCTACTGCACCATACTGCCTCCTTGTAACCCAGCTACTAATTTTTTTACAGACGAGGAAATGAGATCGTCAACATATCTAGAGCACTTTTTACTATATCAAGAAATGGGAGAGAGGGGGAGCGGGCGGCGGGTTAGTAGGAACCGAGAACACAGTCGGTTTCGTTCTTAGTCCTAGAGTCCTAGCAAAACACTTCAATCTGGACTGCAAGCTCCTGGTGGGCTAGCGAAGATTGAGCCCTGCCCTGTGGTTGATGCTCAAAAGCTCGATTTGGGTTTGTAGGGCAGAGCTGAGGGGGGAGGAGAAGGAGGAGGAGGAAAATGGGGGCGTCTCCGGGAGGGTTAAGGCCCGTTACTATTGGTCCCGGGACCTCCTCTGTGCCTCAGGGGCGAGGCCAGGGGTGGAAGATAGCATTGGGTGGAAGAGGCGGGGTCCGGAGCTGGTCTCTCTTGGGCTCGGGCAGTCGGGACTAGTCGGGGACACGAACCACTGCAGCTGTTGGGAAGGGAGAGGAAACAGCGGGGAACTAGACAAGACGAGGTGGTTGAGTCCGAAGTCCCCGCAGTGTCCCCGGATCTTCACTCAGACCATCTTCCCCCTATACAAACCGCTTGCGCTCACGTCCTAGAGCCGGAGGACACAGCAGTGCTCAGCGGAACTCGGTACCGCCGTCCGCGATGAGGGAGATCGTCCATATCCAGGCAGGACAGTGCGGGAATCAAATTGGCACCAAGGTAGGAGAGTAGGGCTGCGCCAGGGGTGGGGGTGGGTTTGGAGCGGGGTGGGGAAGGTCGTCTGTTTTGGCGGGGAGGGGTGCTTCTTAGAGATTGCAAGCAGAATTAGGAAGATGATGTTGGGTGGTGCTGAAGGATTGCTGTTTATTGAGTTTGGTACCAGGAGAGATGAATTAGCTGTGCGGTCCCTCTAAAGTGTCATCAGTCGGGCCAGGCAGTCCCCTCTCTTCCCTTCTCGCATCTCCATGCAACTACCCCCAGTTTCTCTCTCCAGAGCTCTCCTGGCGTCCTATCCCACTACCCGTCCCGCAGTCCTCAATCCTCTCCCTGCCCCATTCTAGGCATCCAAAGTCACACAAAACCCTACTCTGCCCGACCGCGTGTAACTCTAAAATATAGCCTGAGGCAGTGGAGGAGGCTGAGTGAAGGTGGGGGTCAGCAGGAAGCCAAGAGTCCTAAATCCGGCACAGGCCACGCTGATCCACCCTTACCCCTCATCCCTCATCCCCCATCCCGGTTTGGCCCGTCCAGTCTCCTCGTTTCCAGTCCACTCCCTCCCAAAGCAGAGAGGGAGCGGCTCAACGCAGAGCTCAGGCGCGCCAGGAATTCAGCAGCTGCTATACCACGTCCCCCGCCCCCCAACTTCTTCCCCACCCACCTACGGATCCCCCCCCTCGCCCGCCCCCAGCAATCCTCCCCTCCTGCCTAATCAGGAGTACTTACTACCCGCCTCTCCCTAGGACTCAGAGAGAAGAGGAGGAGGGAGGCTGCCCGCATTCCCTCGGTGGATAGGGAATGGGGTGTGAGGGAGGAGGGCTGTTTGGGTGGCAGGGACAGGCAGCCCAGGAAGGGGTTCAGTCCATCTAAGTGCTTACTTTCTGTCCTCCCCACCCCCTTTGTTCCTTTCTGCTCTTCCTCCTCCCTCAAGTTTTGGGAAGTGATCAGCGATGAGCACGGGATTGACCCAGCCGGAGGCTACGTGGGTGACTCGGCGCTGCAGCTGGAGAGAATCAACGTCTACTACAATGAGTCATCCAGTGAGTTGTGCCCGTGTGCGGTGCGCCAGGAAAGGGGGTCGGGGACTGTCTCCTCCCATCCGCTAACCCTCCACCCCTCGAGGCCGGACCTGCTGGAGAGGCAAGCACTCTCCCCCAGGGCATGGTTCCCTGGCGGTCAGCCTAGTTAGTCTGTCTGGGCAGGGTCCCTCACCTCCCTCCCTCCCTCTGGACAGCTCTTTCTGCACGGCCCTGCGGAGGAGAAGGAAGGGGGCCCGGAAGACAGTTATGTTTTCGGAAAAGTTGCAATAGGAGCTTGCTGCTGCTCCTCCCCCTCAGAGGCGGGAAATCCGCTGTTAATTTAAATGAATTCCAACCAGAAGTGTTCAGTTGTCTGGGATGCCAGTTTTTTTCTTCCTTCCCCAAGCCACCCCTCTCTTATTATCCCCCCCACCTCTCCCCAATCAAAAACCACATTTTACACGTTTAGAAGAAAAAGTATTGCTAACTTTTGACTAAAAAGGAGTTTGTGTTATATAACTTTTGGCTCATTTGGGTTTCTGGCTTCTCTTTCTCACTTTTGCTGTCTGCCCTTTGGGTTTTTATTTCTTTTCTCTGCTTGTGCATCCAAGGACAAAGACAGTTAAATTAGAATCTATCAATTTTGCTGCTGAGACCATGATGATGAGTCTTTGTGGGGAAGGAAGTTAATACTAGGGGATAAAGGTTAAATGTTTAGATTATTGGTGGATTTCAGTTCTCTAAGAACTGGTTATGACTAGTTTTCTAGAGACTTAGGTCATCTTGAACTCTTTGTGTCTAGGGAGTGTATTAGAATAGTTTCTGTTCACATTTCACCTCAGAAGCAGCTATACTCTATTGGGTAGCTGGAAACAATTTCTTTCTTGTCCAGCTGGAATGAAAAGGGTCCATACAAATGAAAGTAATCAGCAGGAAGGTAGAGGGCTACATGATTTTCATTGGAATTTTTGAGAACCTATTTTGGGAACCAATATTAATAAGATTAAACTTTTTAGAGGAGAGAAATTGACCAAAGAACCAAAAGAGCACCAAATCAGCTGCTACAACAAAAACAATTTATCTTCCATGGAACTAAAAATGGAAAGCTTCCCTTTGGAAACAAGGAAGTCATAGCAGGCTCATAGAAGCCTCTCTGAATGAGACCCAACTCCCAGGATACATCCCAGGGAGTTGTCAAGATTAATGGAATTAATCAGAGAGAGGTTAGCTCCTACCTGGAAGAGAGCCTTAGAAAATAACATGGTGGGATGGGTTTGTTTTTTTTTTAATATAGCCCAGAAGTATGTTCCCAGGGCCATCCTAGTGGACTTGGAACCAGGAACCATGGACAGTGTGAGATCTGGGCCTTTTGGTCAACTCTTTCGGCCTGACAATTTCATCTTTGGTACGTATGTTCCTGTCTGATTTTCTGTGTCATTGGGTGACAATCATCAATATCACTTTAGGCTTTTGTGTCTTTCCTTCTCCATCTGCAAAATGGGGATTAGGGGTGTATGTGTATGGGGGGGAATGATCTGCCTCATGTTCAAACTCTTGAGGAGCAGGAAAAATGAGGCACTAGATAGATATGAACTTTGAACTTTACAGGAACAGAAAACACTCTTGTATGAAAACAAAATTGTAGTATTATTAATGCTACCACTACTATTAATAGCTCTTTAAATGTACCTGATAGAAAAGCAGTGTTTCTCATTCATGCATTCCTTTATTTATTCATAAATTCCTTCAACAAATGCTATTTATATAGTTGCCCCAATAAATTCACAAGCATTTATTGGACTCCTACCATAATTCAGTCCCTAAGCTAGCATAGCATAGAATAGCACTGGGGGTACAGAAAGTTTTAAGACAAGGACCTCTTCTGCAGGAATTGCAGTCCTGTAGGAGAGATGAGACACATACACGTGAAAAGATAAGTAACAATTATAAGCAAGTGTAAGATCAGGTTCTGGCAGAAAGAGATACTATGGAGGCAATGATACTTTCAGACTACAGTGTTCAAAAAAAGTTTCACAGAAGAATGAAGTTTGGGGAACAGGGTAGGTGATGCAGTGGATGAAGCTCCAGCTCTTGAGTTAGGAGGACCTGAGTTCAAATCCAGCCTCAGACACTTGACATTTACTAGCTGTGTGACCCTGGGCAAGTAACTTAACCCCGATTGCCTCATTCCAAAAAAAAAAAAAAAAAATGAAGCTTGAGTTAGTCCTTGAAGAATGAGGAGGAACTTAGACAGAGAAGAGGAGGGAGGTCATTCCAGGAATGAGTAAAGTCTTAGAGAGGAAAAGTGTTGTATCTCTTTTAGCTTCTCCCTGAGGTAGTTAGTGCCTCAGGGACCTTAGAGTAAAAAGATGTAGCAACATGAAACTGGGAGCATCTCTCCTCTGCCCTGTGTTCCATCCCATTATTTGAATCAGTGTGGTTCATGAATTGTAGTGGCCTTCCAAGGCTGTTCCAAAAACTGGCTCAAAATACAAACCATGTGGATTTTAAATATATATATTATCTACTGCAGAAGAGAATTTACATTAAAGATCATAAAAATTAAGATGATAAATGTGTACCCACAATTAGTCACAAATATTCTCAGTAGCTCCACTAATTGAATTGGTGTTAGGGAAACGGCGTGAGTGTGGAGTGTGTCAGTCCATGGGAGTGTTGGGGGGGGCAGGGTGGGATCTAAAATGAGCCACAGTGAATATTACTGCTCTACCCAAATCCTCAGTGTACATACTAAATAAATTAGTGCCTACAGGACAAGTTTAGTATAATGTCATAGGAAGAGGGGAGAATGCCCCCCAACTCCATTCCCATCCCGAAGGGTGTAAGGCCACATAGTGAAGTGACGCTACCCATTTGTACAGAATTATCTTTGCAAGAACTAGGACACAGACCAAATTTTAGGGCTCCTCTGGTTCTCCTCTCTAAGCGGTAAAGGCTATGATGATGTTGGAAGGAGAAAACGGGTATCCCAGTCTACAGAATCAGACTTAGCACTATGTTTTCTGACCTCCATCATTTTATGAAAGAGGAAACTGAGAGAACTGAAGTGCTTTATGAAGGTCACACAATTAGTCTAGAAAGTAGGATTTGTGGGGTAGCTAGGTGACTTAGTGGATAGAGCACCAGCCCTGGAGTCAGGAAGACCTGAGTTCAAATCTGGCCTCAGACACGTAACACTCACTAGCTGTGTTACTTTAGGCAAGTCACTTAGCCCCAATTGCCTTCAACCAAAAAAAAAAAAAAGTAGGATTTCAACCAAAGTCTTCTGTTTCCAGTTACAATGTTCTTTCTACTAACCCCAGGGATACTGGTTCAGGTTGGAACCAGATCTTTATGAAATTCGGGCAACAAGTTAACTGTGATGGGTCTATGAAAGTCACATGCCCAGCTCCCCCAGCTTCAGGTGCACTGCAGTAACTCCTGGGAAGACATAGTTGGCCAAAAGTGGGAGTGATTCGGGTGGGGCTTGTGTCTAAGTTTGGTTTCTGGTACTACAGTTATTGAGGAAAGCAGCCAAAACCCCCCAAACTCTTCTCTTTGTAAAAGGAAGAGGTTGCAGAGCTGAGCCTTCACCAAACCTTGCCTCTAAGCTCATAGGTCTAGCTTTGGGGTCCTCCCACTATCTTTATGACACCACATCCTTCATTTTCTCTCCCCACTAAGGAAATATTGATGCCTAGAATTGGCCACAGTGTCCTCACAGGAAATATGCAGAAAAAATGGCCCAAGTTCAAGGGAAATTCTCTCTTGGGGAGTGCCAGTGAAGTTTGGGTTTTATTTTCCTTTAAATGATAGCAAACTCCACCATTTTAGGGAAATGCCAGTTTTGTAGAATAAAAATATCTACTATGTCCAACTATAATTTCAAATCTGACACACTTCCAGGATTAGGAGTGTTAGAAGGATTTTCTAATCTGCTACTTAGGTACTGCTTGTGTGATCAGGATCAAATGACTTCATCTGGCTGTACCTCACTTTCCTCCATGGTAAAAGTAGAGAACTGAAGTAGATGATTTCTACTGAAATATATGTCCTCCTGTGACATTTTAAAATCCTAAAGCTCATTCAATAGCTGAATATCAGCTTAACAATGTCAACAACAACCTTCTTGCTGGGGAAAAATATAACAAACAAACCAATGCTCAGATCCCCCTCTCTGGGAGGGAGATTATGTGCACCCATCTTCTTGGTTTCCCCTAGATCATATAAGCTTCTGCTTTTTAATTCTCTAATGTGTGGGAGAATAATAATAGCTGATATTTTATGTTGCATTTTAAGGTATGCAAAGGCATCTTATTGCCTACTTTATCTCATGTGAGCTGAGGACTTACAGGTATTATTATCTTCACTTTGCAGATAAGGAAACTGAGTCTCAAAAAGGTTGTTAGAAGAAATGGGTTCCTGTCCTGGTTTTTGCCACTTACTGTCCTTGGGCAGATCTCTTCTTTACCTTTCTGGGCCTGTTTCTTCATCTGTAAAATGGGGGGAATGGACTAGATGGCCTTTGAGGTCCCTTTGGTTCTAAATCGATGATCCTAGGAGGTGACTTGTCAATGGTCTCATCCCTAGTAAATATAGAGGCAGGACTCAAACCCATGTTTTCCCTACTCAACCATGCTGCCTTTCTGAGAATGACTACTTTACGTTTATTTAGCTCTTTTGCAGTTTTGGAAGTATTTTCACATGGGAAATCTCCTTTATTCCTCATAATAACCCTATTTAGTAAGCAAAAAATGCATACTTTTTCTCATTTTCAAGATGAGGAAACAGGGATTGTTTTTTGCCTTTTTGTATCCCAGCAGAGTGTCTGGCACATAGAAGGCATTTAATAAATATTGACTGAGTGAGTGAATAAAACAGAGCAAAGTGAAATAATTTGCCCCAAGTCATATAGCTAACAAGTGGTCCAGCTGGCACACTCACCCAGGTCATAAGATCATACATTTAGAGCCACAAGTTCTCTTTCCACTTTCCAGTTGGGTAAATGGAGGCCTACGGGATTAAATGATTAGCCTACTGTCAAAGGGACAGTAATAACAATAGCTGGTATTTAGGTGGAGCTTTAAAGTTTGGAAAGTGTTCACCATGTTATTTCAGTTGAACCTCTTGTCCTGGGATTGAATGTTGTCATTTTACAGATGAGGAAACTGAGGCTGAGGGAAGTTTAGTAACTTACAGCTAAGTAAGTGTCTAGTAAGCAGATGACCTGGGATTTGAATCCAGGTCCCTTGACTCTAGATCCTGTCCTCTTTCTATGGTAGCAATATAGGACTTCCTATAGGACTATAGGACTTCCAAAGTCCTGTAGGATTCATTAATAGGCAACAGGTCCAGGGCTCTTACCACTCTGTCATACAGTCTCCAGTATAGAGGGCTGGGATGAAAAGAAACAAGCAATGCACATGTGTTTGAATTGGAACTGGAGGGTCAGGTATTCCGAGTGAAAGACAGCAACTCTTAGAGTAGCTGAAATATTGATATTAGCTGTCTTTAGACCTTTTTTGTGTCATGGACCCCTTGGGCAGTCTAGTGAAGTCTATGGACCCCTTCTCAGATAATGTTTTCTAAGTAATTGAAGGAAATACTAATTTTTAGTTCAAGGTTAATGAAAATAAAAATCTAATTTTTTCCCATCTAAATTCACAGAACCCCTGAAGTCTAGAGGGATCAATGGACCCCTAGATTCAGAACCCCTGATTTAGACTCCAAATGGAAGGGGTACTTCCACTGAGTGGTCACTAACAACAGGTAACCGATCTAGTGGAAGTTCCTTACTATTGCTCACCACCCATCTATGACTTCCCCCAACAGAATGAATACAAACCAAGATTATGTGAGTTGACTTTTTTTTTTAAGTTGTTAAAGTGTATTTTGTAAAAACCTACACCTGAATTGGAAAGCATGTGTATGCAGCAAGGTATAAAAGAACAGGAATGCATTTTTTTGTAGGGAAAAATGGATTAAATCCTATTTTTCCTGGCTAGTGAGTCAAACCAATTGATTTCTGCTTAGGCTATAGTTATGGAGGCATCCTGTGGGAAGATATCTCAGTGGGTCAAATGTGTCATATGCATATTATGGCAAAAAGAACAGCTGAAAGTTAGGGTTTACTTTTAGCAATTCTCCCATTTGTAACTTTTTCTCCAGTTTCAGATCTGGCAGACATGAGTGTTAGAAAACCTAAACAGTGCAGTGGTGCCTTCAGAGAGGTTTGAACAGGACATAAATCAGAGGGTGTGTCCTTTGCCAGGGAAAGACAGCTCAGTGGTATCTGTTGAGGCTTGACTGAAGCTTGGAAAATTACAGTCTCATTTTCTATAGTCAGGAGTCACTGACTGCAATGTCACAACACGCTATTACTAGTGATGTTCATTTCATAACCCC